GCCCAAGAGAGAGCGACGATCGTTATCGCTTAGTTGGCATCGGTCTGTTGTTTCCAAGAGTTGACGGATGAAGAACGCGCAATCATCTTGGTGGTCCGAGCTAGGAACAATGGTGAACTTAGTTGCTTGGCCAAGTTTCTTGTCTTGGTCCATAGCGTTGATGGATTCTTTGAGATCGTTCATGTTTGATGTGAGTCCGGCAGCTAGAGAAGCAATTCGTTCGTTGAGGTCACGAACTAGAGCAGGGACCTCGTTAGAATCGGAAGATGTAGGGACCGAGGTAGGTTCGGTCGCTTGCTGAGTCTCCAGGGTCTGGGTTCGGAGTTCTTGTAGTTCTTGTTGGTGTCGATTGAGCTGTTCCTTCAGGGACAGTACTTGTTTCGTTAGTTGAGAGTTCTCCCGAGTGAGGTCCGAGACACAGGCGCTAAGGTGCTTGTTGGACTTGTCGAGTTCTTCAAGTAGGCGGCGAGTTTCGCTGAATTCGGCTGGGACCCGTGTCTGGAAGTCGCTTTGGAGTAAGCGGAGAGACTGGACCTCTTGTTGTAGTTGATGAAGCTCGGTCTGAAAGCGGTCTTCGTTACAGAGAAGGCCGGATCGGAGTTGTTGGCAGACGGACGCTTGGTCTTGCAAGGACTGGCGCAATTCGAGAATGGTTTCTGACAGTGTTTGGATAGCTGTTTCATGGGTCTCTCGTGGGACCGTTTCAGCCAAAGATTTTCGAATGTGTGAGATTTGTGAATCCGTAACGGACCGGGTCGTTTCGACCGTCAATCCAACTTGATGGACTTGGTCCGTTACTTGTTGGACTCTGTTGAGCAAGTCTTGTCGAGTAGAAGAGAGGCCCTGCTCCAGAGAAGAAAGGCCCTCCTCAAGGAGTTGGGTCCTGTTGGACGCAACTTCTACTGCAGAAGTCAAAGAACCCAGGGCCGAGTTGGCCCCGCGTTGGCCCACTAGCATTTGGTTGAGTTGTAGTGAAACTGATGTCTCCGTGTAACGGACAGAATCTTGGAGGTCCAAGACACGCTGTGAAAGATCCGAAACCGTAGGCAACAGGGCAAGTCCATGATCAATTTCAGATATCTCCATATCCGTGGCGGAAGGGTCCGTACGAGGTAAGTCCGTAAGCTCAAGAGGTATCTCAACCTGCTCACTTGTAGTGAACGTCAGACCGGGTACTGCGGCAAGGGTTGGATTGATCAGTGGTTCCCAGAAGAGGTGGGTCCCTGTGCACTGCTTGAGGTTGGTCATGGGTCCCAAAGCGGTCCCCACGTCGTGTAAGCTGGTAGTCCTCACTCGAGGGAGGTCCGTCAGGAAGAGCATATTCAAGCGCAGGTACTTCAGAACTTGCAATTTGAAGAAGCGACTGATGTGCACCAGGGCTCGTTGACAAAGGGTCATGCGTCAAGGCCGGAAGCTCCGGGCCCTGACGATTTGCATGGTTGCCAGGTCCAGCAGGAACCAAGCCAAGTTCATCAGGTAATGGGAGCAATTGAGGGTTGGTCCGTGCGCTTGTTGTTTCAGTCACCGTACGAGACACAACTGTTGTGACGGTCCTGGTGATTGCACTCGAGGTTGACGACAGAGTCTCGGTTGATTGTGAAAATGGGACGATGCTCCCGTCCACGGGACAGAGCGCATCATCCAAATGCACATTGGTAGCAGACATAGGGACACCTTCATATTGGACAAGGTCCCGTGTTGGAAACATGGAGTCATCATCAGGTAATTCTTCGAGCGAGTTGCGAGGCTCAAGAGACAAGTCGCTTCCGGAGAGGTCCGATAGTCCAGCTTCACCGGCATCCATTGCTGGAGAAGGCTCTAGGTCGGACCTGTTGCCGGACCCCATGTCTACGTCGCTGTACTCGGCGGGCAGTTGTCGACTTCTCTTCTCGGGGTCTCGCTGTTCAGGCGAGTTAGCGTGATGTAATCGGCGGTACTCAAGGTCCCGCTTTCGTAGCGTCGCTAAAGGCGACTCAGTGTAGGTAACAATGGCGGACTCAGTCACAGTGTTCGTTCGAGGTGGGTCCCTGTCAGAACCGGCAATAAAGGCATCGGCATGATCGGGACCAAGGTTGAGGTCTTCTTGTCTTCGAGGATCCATGCTTGCACGTTTTCAGGATCGAGTGGAGAGTACCCTGCTTCTCCACCAAATTTGTGACGTGGGGGATGAGAGAGTCACAAATAATAAAGATGATCGACCGCAATCGAACACCAGGCAATCGTATTCTCACTAGAAACTGAAGGACTCACAAGGTAGGATGAAGACCTTGTTTGCACTTAAGGTGGAAATGAATTCTAATCTACACATGCATATGCAAGCTCGAGGACGAGCTGTCGAGGATGAGGAGTCCTTTCATGGAGGATGAGGGACCTTTCGCGGAGGACGGTCCCTGGAAGGTTACTCGAAGGGATGCGTTTCAATCAGGTGGTGACACGCTCATCACCGTCACACAGTGTCACTGGTGAGCCTCGATGCGGTTGATAGAAACCCATGACGGTAGACGCTGCGAGGGCGAGTGGTGTCACAAGACGCATGATGAGAGATCTTTGATGGCAAATTCCACAGTGTTGACTTTACGAAACCACACAGGAAACGAATACGGTTGTTTTTTTGTGGCACCCAGCCACAACAAGCAAGCATTGCCGCTCACAGCGGGCATTCAGCGAACATTGTCGATGAAAGCAGGAGGAAACCCATCAAGTAGGTGCGTTCTTCGAAATAGACTGGATTGAACAGCTCTCCCAACGACCACGTGGGACGAGTAGGATGCTTTGGAATAGTCATGGAGAATGGCGAATGAGCCCAGGAATAACTGTCGCGACAGGATCCGCTTGAGCACGATATCTACCCCATCACCGCTTAATTTAACAAACTACCCCACCTACCTCGTGCTCATATCCTTTTCTCTCAACGTCACGTTCATACCCAGCGTGCCCCAGCCTCCCACCGTATGTATGATGGGATGCTATACCCTGAAATGGATACACGCGAGACTAAAACGCTGAATTGATGAAGCGATTTCCTCTTAGAGGTGTGCTATCGTCTCTCTCGTTGCCTGAGGTATTCAGGCAATCGAGTTTCTGCAGCAACTCGAAGTCGGTTGCTGTGGAAACAACGCAAATTAGATTTTAATGGCTTTAGCCAGTGCTTCGAGCTTTGGATCATGCTGGTTGTGTCTATCAGACTGTATGCCTCCATTAGGCCAAACCGCTGCACCTTTATGATGTTGTATGGCAGTTATCGAGAGCTAATATTACGTATCACTTATGTTAGTCGCGTTATGTTTCTAGCTATTAATAGCAATACATTACAGTGGGCGACAGGACAAGTGGCCCCGTTGCAAGTGTACAAGTTTTTTTTATTTTATTATACTACATGCTGTGAAGGATTTTTATTTTATTTTAGCCAATGAGTGACATTCTTGCATACGACAAGCAACATGACATGTTGACAGTTTAAATGACACAAAGCCGAGGACGAGTGAGGGAGTGTGTGCTGACGACGAAATATGCTTATCTAAATCTATTCACTTTTCTCTTGATTAAATTATACATTTCTCCCATCCTCTGACATGTCAATGAGCTTTTGACACCATTCGTTAACTCAAATTGCTCGCCAAATCATACATGCCAGATGACCATTCGTGCACATATTGGTGCACATTTCCCACTCAGCTCCAATATGTACACGAATGGCGATCGGAAGCGACTGCTGCAAGAATTCGAGACATTATCAATGCGTTCCAAGCAGTTTGCAAAGGCGAAAAACGTGCCGTGGACAACTTGGCGTCGTTGGTTGAAGAACAGGGAAGCAATAATCAACACAAATAGAGGAATGAAGCATGCTACGCTTGGTGGACAAGGTGGGAAAGAGATAATTCCTTTCGCTGACTCACTTCTTGCATACATGAACAAAATGAGAGACTCGGAGAAGCACTTAACGCATGCTCACATGATCAATTTTATGAAGCTCAATCACTTGGAGTGGCTGGAGAGCTACCTTAATGACAAGAAAAACGAGTCAACAGCTTATCGAAACTTATTTAGACAATGCCAGCGCTTCTCGGAACGACATGGTTTCTCTCAGCGTGTGCCATGTTACACTAAAATGCCCTTTCAAGACTTGGAGGCGACCAGAATATCTTTCGCAAAACGTTTTTAGGCCACGTACAATGATTTATCAGCAGAAATGATTATCAATATCGACGAGACCGCTGTGCATTACGACATGCCACCAATGTAGACTCTGGCCAAGGTTGGTGGTTCGTCGAAGGTCGATTCGTCCGAAAAGCACTCGGATAGACTCACGGCTGTCCTATCTGTTCGATCAAATGTGTGTCAATGATTCAATTTTGTTTAACATGAATGTTGTAGGAGAGAAACTTCCGATTTTTTTCATTGTAAAGGGTACTCCAGGTGTACTGATTGAGCGTCAAGAGGTTCCAACGTTTCCACGAGGGCATGTCTTCGTCGTCCAGGAGAATGCTTGGATGGATTCTCGAGTTTGGGAGAAATATCTCCGCGAATTGCTACTGTACGAGATCACTGGGCCATCAGTGATACTCGTTGACAACCTAGAGTGTCACGTCAGCGATGAGACAGTGGACATCGTTGCGTCGGAGCTTTTTTGTGCGCTTGAGCCATTGTCCAAGAATTGTACCAGTGCTATACAACCACTGGATGTTGGCGTCATGGGTCCACTCAAACGTAGACTACGCTACATGTGGCTATTTGAGAAGCCAGTATTCACTGCAGCAGACAAGAGAATGGCGATGATATAAACGAACAATCAAGGCAAGGGAAGAAATGTCAAGCGATACGATACGAAGTTCTTTTTGCAAGGCAATCCCCAAGTCACTTGGCAATGAGTCTCACGAGCATTTATAACTCATTTCAATACATGTACTTTCTTGCATTGAACACTTGTGCACTGTATATATAATGCAAAAATGAACATGACTCATATAATACAACGGCACTTTTCACTTTTGGAAAAAGACTTGCCACTGCCCGGGTTCGAACCCGGGCCCCTTCCTCTATCGCTCTGATGCCGTCGCTCTTAACCGTTGAGCCACGTGCCAAGCCGATGTTTGATACTTTCAACCATCAATTGGCTCAAAAACTTACGATGTTGACTCGGTCGTGCTGTTTTTGATTGGCTTAGAAAAATTGTTTATAAGCCAATGAACACAATTTTTTAAGGGAGGTTTATTAAATTTAAAAAAAAAGTCACGACCAATAATATTATACGCAATACAAACTTCCATATATTATATATTATATATATTAAAGTGGCCCCATTGTACCTTATTTTATAAGGTACAATGGGGCCACTTTTCCTGTCGCCCACTGTACTCTCGTTGATATATTGAGCGGCGAAACGCAGGTTTGCTCAACATGATTGCACGGCGGCGCGTGCTGAGGACTTTGGCGTATGAGGATTAATCTAGAAGCTGTTAAGAATTGCATATAGTTAAGAAATGGTAAGCTCAATGTTTAGATCGACAATCAAGCAGTCTACACTACACGAGACGTCCTCAATGACCCGGCAAGCATGCTGGGCAACCCAACATTTTGTTGTTTGATTTGTTGTTTGATATCAACAAAATGCCTGGTAAGAGACTTGGAGTGGACAAAGGTGTGCCTAGTGGCAGAGCTGTCGGCCTTGCAGCTGGACTGGTTGGAAGCTCGGGTTTCATGTTTTCTGGAGCCATGGGTTTCGGTTCTTCTCGACGCAAGAAGTCTAAAAACCAGGATGCCGAATCCCAACATGGCCATGGCGAAGAAGATAGAGGGAAGAGGTTTAGCACGAAGAGCTCTACTGGTAGTCGTCGTCGTCCACGTTAGCCCCCAACAACATACTTGTCAACCCATAAGTGGACTTGCTAATACATGTAAGTCCAATTTCATTTTCATTTCTTTTGATCGCCAGCTTTACGACATGGCAAGTGCGGTTTATGGCCAAGCAATGCACGAAAAAGTTCATGGAATGCGATGGACGAGCCGAACATGACGAAACTGGGTTTCCGTGTGATGCATTAGATGATGCTTTAGGCATTTTCACTACGAGTCTCGTTGAGACGCCATATCAGTCGGGGGATGGAGCCACAACAATGAAAGCGGTTAATCCTTGATGGTTAAGTCAATAGGTCTTGGAGTCAACTCGGACGACCCGGAAGAAGGACGCCAAACGAGCAACCGAATCGCATCGACCATGCAGGCCAAAATGCCGTATCACCATCACGAGATGCTCTCTCGATGAATCTTAGAGAGGCCACCGATGAAGTCCTGATCTATATTGAATACTCCTAGATCGAATTTCTTCCTACAGTCGTCAGCGGAAGAATCCCAGAGCCAACTTAGGGTTTTGTTGGTTTGGTGGGATCCCGTCTGGCAACCAAAAATATTGTACAACTCGTCGCAAGCCCAAGAATCAAATCCAGAGGCGAAGAAGTCTTGACAAACAGTACATGTGCTAGATGTACTGCTTGACAAGAGGATCCAGCGAGCAGATATCATTACGAAGTGCTCTATGTGTCTTTCTGTCCAGTCCATGTCCATGGCACCTACATGGACCATTGAACAACGTCCGGCTGCTTTGATGGGTGCGAAACATTCAGAAGGTGGTAAATCGGGAGCCAAATGGGGAAAGCGAAGCATGGGTTGTGTCCGAAACAGGTCATATCTGTGTCAGGTCTAGGGATGGCAATGTGATACGGAGTCCATATGAATATGTTGCATCAATGCGATATGAATAGTGGTGTGAATTTTGTATGACCATACTTAAATCAAGTAAAGCATATCTTGGGTTGTTCAATCGTTGTCCTCAATTTCTTCCTTAGGTCGCCTCGCAAACACAATCCTGTAGGCATGGCCCCTCCAAGAGATCCTATATGGCTGCATTTCAATGAAACTAGGATTGAAAAGAAGACCCTTAAAGCAAAATGCAAGTACTGCACCAATGCTTGGGTTATAGGTAGACCAAATCAACTACGCAAGCACTATGCAAACTGTCCATGTCGACTTCTCAACAAATTGGTTGAAATAAACAAGTCTTTATAGCTTTTGTACCCCTCAGGTGTCTCGAGTTGTCCTGAGTACTCGTCGTGGATCTTTTCTGCAGGAGCAAGTGAAGGTTGCAAACGTCATCGGTTTGTGCACCTCGTGACATCGAAATTCAACGCGATAATGTTGATGATGATGGTTATGAATCGCTTTACGAAGACGGGCTCGACACTTATAACAACATCGATGGTGTCTTCGACTCCACTGTTGAGTTCCATGTCAACCATGATGACGAGTGTGTTGGTGAGCTTGCAAGATAATCAACTTGACTATTGTATGCTTTAATGAATTTGGTATTAAATATTATCCAATAGATATGTGAATGATCTGTATGCCATATGGATCACCTTTTGGAGGATGTCGCATTGGATGATGACTATGGCATGTTGTACAACACGATTTTGAGTTTTTGCTCAACAAGGTAATGCTGTTAGTACAACACGTTGTGCAACAGGAACATTACACATGAAGAAGTTTATTATGTCAGGTGTATGGAGCTCTGATGCACAAGCGTCAGTCAAAGCTATGGTAAGATGAAACAATGGTACCTCGCGCATCCCCAGCGTAGCTGATGGTTCTAGGAGGATCTCTTAATTGGCAAAAGATATTGTGCTTTCTACTCAAAATTTTCTCCGCCGATTGGTTGAATCAACCGCCGGCAAATCACCGGACCTCCGAAATATAATACAAATATCAATTTTAGAAGGTTATTTTGACCTTTGGTTGAAGTCTTGATCGGGATGGTACACGAAATCGACGAAGCTTCGTCGCTGCGCTGGCGAGGCCAGAGGCCTCTCCACTCGTTGTACGCTCAACGTGAGGAGCGCTGAATAACGTGGAATTCTCTTCGAGGTGGGGTCGCTGTTGAAGGTTGTTCAGAGTCATAGAGATGACCAGCTTTTCTCTCACAAACTTAGGTCAGTTTTCGGCCAATCAATTGACAGTAAAATTATTTTTAGCCAATCATATCGTCTGGTCGATTTGCAAGCGATTGGACATATCGCCTGAAATTGGCAAATTTGGACTGAAATCACAATACATTTAAGGAGAAAAGGCATTCAAAATCAATTCGGCAAATCGACGAAGTTAGCAATATAAAAAAGTTGTTCTCTTAATAATCAAGAAGGCTTTGAATATTTATAACAAGCTATTCTGTTAATAGATGGCTTTGAATATTCATTACATGCTTTATAACAAATTTTTCTTGATTTATAACAAAACGTTATACAATTTTAGTACAACAGACCCGTTGTGCTACAACGATTGCACAACGTTTTGCACAACGAACCAGATTGTACAACCTGCCTTAATGATGACGCAAAAGTGCCATCCCTAGTCAGGTCACACTTTATGGAAATGAGAATGTATCTCCATCACCAGGACGAACGAAAGCGCCATGATTTCTCATTTCCTGGCAGACCTCATCAGGGTAGCAGCACGGCCTTATGGCCTACCTACCGCCTTACCCGATGAGAGAGAATAGAAAGATATTCCTCCTTGGTGCACGTTGGGGGCTCCCTCCTCCGAGTCATCCGCGCAGTTGAAAAGGCTGCTGGAATGAAAAAAACCCTACAATCTGATCAGATAACCAAGAAAACAACCTACAAAAAAACCTGTGACCTGCACCCATGACCTGGAATCACCTTGGACCTCCAACATGCTCGTGGACATCTTTGAGTATCGCTTTGGCAAGAGTGAGTGATGCTTGCCATTCTTTACAGCTGCCTGTTGTGATGGAGTAGGTTGAATGGATGCGCTAGAACTTCTAGCGCATCCATTCGAGTGAGTAGTAGTGATCTCTACCCAGTGGGGAATGGCGTAGGTGACGTGGTGGTCACATCAGTGAGTGGTTTGGCAAGCTGAATTGCACTGGCACCGACACCGTCAGAACCAAGGCCGACTTGTTCGCTGAGTGTTTGACTGGTGACTCAACTGTCTTGGAGCCTCAAGATGGTGCGAGTCGTAAGCAGTGGTCGCTGTAAGCGAGAGGCTAGCAGAGCACTTGGTCGCCGACATGGAAGTGAGCGGTATGACCACATGCGCCCAGGGGTGTTACAATATACTTCACCATTTGCCGGTTTAGTTCGTTTAACTTGCGATATATTTCGTATCGTTTGCAATATATTTCGTATCAGTGCAATATATTTCTTATGACTTGCATTTAATTTCGTGGTCGGCGACGAAAATCGATTTATATTTCGCATGACTTGCATTATATTTCATACCTCTTGCATTTAATTTCGTATTTTTTAGCTTATATATCGTATCACGTGCATTTAAATTCGCAGAAAAGAGAAAAAGTACATAGAAAAATTAACAAAAAATTGTTATCGACCTCATAAGAAATTGATGGGACACTTCAATCACCATATAAGTCAATGCGAGCATCAATCAAGCTCGGCAGAGTTCATATGCGCTTGCCCGTCGCAAATTCATAGCTCAAGCCAACACTGCAACACATGTGAAACGTCATATCTCAATAGGACGTTGAATATATTTTGCATTACTACGAATTAAAATGCACGTGATACGAAATATAAGCAAAAAAATATGAAATTAAATGCAAGAGGTATGAAATATAATGCAAGTCATGCGAAATATAAATCGATTTTCGTCGCTGGCCACGAAATTAAATGCAAGTCATGAGAAATATATTGCACTGATGCGAAATATATTGCAAACGATACGAAATACATCGCAAGTTAAACGAACTAAACCGGCAAATGGTGTAGTATATTGTATTATTGATTGTACCCCCCCCCAGTCTTCGGACAATCAATCATTGACAATATTCAATCTATTGTTGTCGTGAAAGAGTTTTACGACGTCTAAGCAGTCGGACTATCCTTTTCGATAGCTTTGGACAACTTGATGGCTTGTGAGACGTTGCCCAGGCTCACGAGGTCCCAGTTCAACTTTAAGTATATGATGACCTCAAGCGTGGTGCTGTCCATACTCTTCCGCAAGTAGCCGATCATGCACTTCACACCAGAGAAGAATCGCTCGACAACAACAG